TTCCATTAAGAGAACAGAGGAGATGCTTTAATGAAAAATTCTCAATTTTTACATAAAGTCAACGTAGACAGGTCACGTCACATGCGTTAGTGAGATCGAATACCTTAACTTATCAAGACCAAAACGCGAACTTCATGAACTTAAGAGAGGTCAACATCGACGTGCAATTGTAAATTTCGGGGAGAACTCACAATGATTGCGAATTGTTGCAATCAGAGAAGTGCGAAATAGCATTGAATGAGGGGGGAAAGTGGAAAATGACAACGTCTTGCTGTCCAGTGTGAGTGGCGGAGAAGTGTCGTGATGATATACAACGCTGCGGTGAATAATAAACTTTTGCACAGACAACTTGAGTAGAGTGTGAGTAGTGAGGAAAAGGGAGACAGAGACAGTTACAGATGAAAAACAATATGAAGTGAGAGACGAAGAAGATGCACAATTTGTCTGAATAGGAAAGAGATGACAGAATGTCAACATAAGTTCATTTACCTGCTTGTGGGATCTGTCAGAGTAGCTCTGTGGCTTAGACCGACATGATTTCTCCTATGTAATTATTGATCACGGTTGGGTATCTGTCTTACTCACTCATCTTTCACAAAGCGGAGGAATAATGCAGAACTCAGGTTGCTATTTCTCAGAAGTAACGACCGTGGCGTAATAGCAGATGTCTGGTGTTGGTGGCAGGCGAAAAAATCCACTGAATTTGAGTTTGCCGGCAACAGTTAAAGAGAAGGCTGGTTTGAGGAGAGATGGGACAAAAGATAAAGGTACCTTCTCACTGGAAGACCAAATCAAGCAAATGACACTCACCGAACCTCAGAAGTTGCGGATGCAGGAATGGATCGAAGAGAAAAGACTTGTTAGTTAATTTGTTTGTAATTATCTAAATTTAATTAGCATCAATTTCTCTTTCTATTCCAGAAATGAATTCTTAGTTCATTTGTTACAGGTACCATTAAATGAATTGAATGAGGATATGTTGGAGAAGATGTGTGAATTGGGACATGGTAATGGCGGTGTTGTAAGTAAAGTAATGCATAAACCGAGTAAGATTATCATGGCCAGAAAATTGGTTCATCTGGAAGTGAAGCCATCTGTGAGGTTGCAAATCCTGAAGGTACAAGATGGTTGGTTCTCTTCTGAGATCTATAAATTCCACTGTGAGGCGTTAGACAACTGGAATATGTTATGCTGTAAAATTGTTAAATTTTTTTCCCAATGAGGAAGTTGCGAATTTTGTTTACTCAAAAATATTGCAGGAGCTGGATGTGTTGAATAAATGTAACAGTCCATATATTGTTGGATTTTACGGTGCTTTCACTGATAACAACGATATATCCATATGCATGGAGTACATGGATGGATTATCTTTGGATGTTGTTTTGAAAAAAGTGTTTTTTTTCCTTTGTTTAGAAATTTTTTGGCCTTATAGTTAACATTTAGTGAAAAAAAATGAAAGAAATTTCTTGTAGGATTCGAATTTCTAACTGTTTTCATTCCGCGTTTATTTTTTCTCATTTTTTATTTTCAGATTCGCAACATTTTGTTTCCAGGTTGGTAGGCTAAAAGAATCACGTGTAGGTCGAATTGCTGTTGCAGTTATTCGCGGATTATCATACTTGAAGGATGAGCATAAAATACTGCATCGAGGTCAAACCATATTTTTTGTCATCAAATCAGGAAATTGCAGTGTATAACAGCATGGAAAAACGATTAAAATAAAAACTGCAATTTGTTACTTTTGTTTCAGATATCAAACCATCAAATATCTTGGTTAATAGTCATGGAGAAATAAAATTATGTGATTTTGGTGTTTCGGGCATGTTAATTGACAGCATGGCTAACAGCTTCGTCGGCACTCGCTCATACATGGCGGTAGGTGCCTTCGATAGACTCTTCACCTTCATGAGAGATTCATTTTGTTTTCATTTGTTTAGTAACGAAGAAATCGCAAATTTTCTCTCCGTGAGACTTGTGATTTCAAATTTTGTGTTTTAATCATATCTGTTAATCATTTCCAGCCGGAACGATTGACAGGAAGCCATTACAGTGTGCAGTCGGATGTTTGGAGTTTTGGTTTGTCGCTTGTAGAATTGTCAGTCGGACGATACCCGGTGCCAGCGCCGACAGCAAGAGAATATGCTGAACTCTTCAACATTCCAGAAGAAGAAGTAGAGTTCCCAGAAGGTACGATACCACCAACATCCGCCACTCTATGTACACCAAGGACGATGGCAATTTTTGAACTTCTTGACTATATTGTTAATGAGGTAATCTTAATTTCATGATTTTTTTGTCAGTTTTTAGTTGAAATTATTGCCATAATGACCTTATAATGTTGAAGAATGACAGCAAAAGCAGTATGAGCATGAAAGAGTCCAGCCTTCGAAATTTTATGGAGTAAAATCGAAGTTTAAAAAGTATTGCTCTAAAAATCCTTTTCAGGCACCACCACTGTTGCCAAAGAATATATTCAGTGATATTTTTATTGATTTCATTGGAAGGTGTGTTAAAAAGAATCCCATTGAAAGAGCCAATTTGAAAACATTAAGTAATCATGAATATTTTATAAAACATGCAAATGCGGAAGACGGTGGTGAATTTGCACAGTTTATAAAGGAAACTATAGGGATGAATCATCATTCATAAAAAGCTTTCAGTTCCATATCCTTGATATCGCCTTGAATCAACTAACGGTCTTTTTTCGCCTCTTATTAACCTTTTTTACCCAGCATGCTTCTAAATTCGCTACAAGTCTTTCCGAAATTTTCCGGCTCACATTCTACCAATGAATTGAGATTTTTTTATGTAATATTTACAAATATCTTGAATTTCTCATAGGAAAACGAGTGAAAAGTTTGTGATCGCACCAATTTTCCTCTTGTTTTTTTAATCGAACATTTCACTCATTTCCTGTTTGACAAAGTCCTCCATAAATTGTTAATGAGAATTCTTGTTATAAGATGGACTAACTGCTTAAAAAGCCATAAAATCATTTCAGGGTTAGAGAGAAAAGGAAAAGAACCATCTTGTCCCCGTTTTCAATTTATCCCATTAGTCCTTATTTTAGGCTTTTATCAGGATTTTTAGTTTTGTAACAAATTGTTAAATTACCATGAGCTTTATACTTTGAATTTCAGCATTTTCGTGCTTGTCTCTAATACTGTGATTTGATAAAAATCATTTTACTTTTAAAATTCGATTTTAAAATTGATATTTCCAGACCAACAGGAAATCTAGAATAGAATTACAATGATTTGCTCATTATTATTATAGTTGAATAGATTAAATTCCTTTGTAAATAACAGTGGAATTCTACCCGGAAACTGCGCACTAAATATGGCCAGCTTCCACTTTTTGAGGACTCGGAACCTTGAATACAAGGATCTTTTTGAGTAATAGCTCTAGAATGTTAAAAAAAATCCCCAGTTTGTCAAAAAATATTTGAAAGATCAGCACAGTCCATATTTTTATTACATTTCAAGAACTGCAACATATCAAGTATAATCGTTGTTCAATGTGGAAACATTGAGGTGAATCGCATCATTAAATATGGAAGGAGAAAAAAATTTAAGCCCTAGAGAACTTCGACAGGTACATGTACGATCTTACTGTCATAGAGTTTAATTTATAAATAATTCAGCCGTTTCTGTGTGTAGATGGAAGTTTCATCCATTAGTCGTTCTTTGATTTTTCGGATACAGATTCCTTGGATATTCCTGGAAAAGATTTTTGTTCTGAACAAAATATGTTAAAATCCCCGTAAACAGAAATGTAGTGCAGTGAAATTTCCTGATCATTAGGTCAGGAAATCCTGATATAACATTACAGGTTAAGGGAACAAGCTGACCTGTGGCTGTCTTTTCTGATTTCGACTTGTTCTCACCATTCCTTCCAAAATACAGGGTTGCTACAATAAAAAGCACAGCGATCAATGGTATGAAAACGTGAATGCCTGAAGAACAAATTTCAGGAGCAAGGGAAATATGATATAGACGGTAAGAATGATAAAGAATGGCTGGTTGAAGGACTGCCTTACCTACTGTTCACTGAACCGCAGAATTATGTATAATTGCAGCAGAAGGGGGAAACGAACTTTTCACTAAGGTCAGGAAGTAAGGTAATATTAAACGGAGAAATTGGATAGTCATGCAAAGAAGAAGCAAACCTTCGACAAAATCATAGACGACGTCCATGTGAAAGTTCTAAAGGCAATTAAAGGAATGCGTCAACCGATCGGTGTTCGTTTCTATTTTGGCATGAATCGATTCAGTCAACACCTCACATAGCACAACCATCCAACTTCTCTCCATTCATCGGATTACGATGCATATGCCTGTTGTCTGCAATGAAGTCAATAGGTCTAGTCTGACGAACTTAAGCCAATAAAATTTAATTTCTCGTGTGAAGACTCAACATTTTTGAAGTTACCTAAGCAGGAAGTACTTCAAATGAACATCAAAGAACCACCAACTATCTCATGAAGTCTGATGCAATCAATATTTCACATGATGTGAGACAAAGCAATGTCGCATTGTACGGTTTGCCGCGAGATTCCGACCGCTGCTCTTTCACGCTTTCCGATATTTTGTTTCCGATATTCTTTTCGTCGTTATTGTTTATGTGCATGCTTCTTTTTTACTGTCTGGGGAGTTTCTTACAAAAGTCTAATATATCTGGAAATTAACGCGAAACACTGGCGTAAGCTTTGAACCTTACAGGTTTTATGGTACCGTGAAGTAACCTTTTGAGGTTCAGTAATGTCACACTGACAAGCTTTTCATTTACTCGTTTCTTACCATGTTCAAAAACGTTTTATATTTTTGCTGTTCTTATAACTCGAAATCAGAAATTTGCGACATTGGTGTTATTCTTGAAAGTATCCTTACGAATAGAATCTTGTGTTTAATTCAGAAAATTTTATCTTAACTGATGTTTTTGTTATAGTTGATTTTATTTCAGGTTGATTATCACTTAGTTAGATCAATCGTATAGTGGAAATGGTAATGTTTACTGACATTCACAGATTGAATATAGAATGTCCTTGCTGAAATTCGTTAATTTGTAACCCAGTTATAGCACTTTGAAAGTTTTAAGTCTTGTGGTTTCTTTTCCTCTTTCTGATTTTAAAACTGTTATAGTTACCACACCGATTTGCTTTCAGATTTCTTGTAGCGTACACTGTGAGAGTGTGAAACATAGTGATGACAAAAAAACGTAACCTAAAAAATGAATTTAAATATTTACTTTTATTAATTGAAGTGCTCAAATAGCTTTAAGATATCGTCGCTTCTAATAGGATTTTTTCAGCCGAAACACAAGAAATGGATTGATAAAAAACATTGTAAAACATTTCATTTGATTCATCAAAATCAAAATGCTGAATATCGTGACGGTGAATTTGTGCAACAGTTGGTTAGGAAAAAGGTGGTAACTCTTGAATTGAAATAATGTGAACAATAAAGCTTTTCTGAAGTGTTAAATGTACTCGGCCGTAACATAAGAGAATGTCATTACTAATGAATCTCACCGTACAGTATCATTTTTGTTGATGAATATGCAGTTTCTTGAGTATATATCTTTATTGGTGTATACAAAGTTTTGAAAAAATAATGGAGTAAATGACTACCAACATGAACAGACTATTACTAGTGTAATTTTCAAACAGGTATATCCATTAGCCATTTTAGTCATTCGTTTAAGTGGTAGGGATTTGGAAAGGACTACTTGCACTTTATGTTAAGTAATTTTATGTAAACTTCCGTTACAGCATATGGAAGAATACGACAAGTATGGCATATACTTTGATGATGACTACAATTATTTGCAGCATTTGAAAGAAGTGAACGAGGTAAGCGATGTAGTTTTTTAATTTGACTTTTTATCCATTTGATTCATTTACTGATTGGGTAGCGTGGGTAATACAATGAGATTATAATTATTGTTTAGCAAAATATAAAGACAAATCTCTCTTTTTATTAATCAGAGCTTATATATAAAACACTAGGATGTTTGACTTCCTAGTATTTTATATATAAGCTAAGTTGCACTGACAGCAACTTAGATTTGAAAAATTATTTAGAAAGTGTCAGTGCATGAATATTATGGAATACATGGCTTATTTAGAAACTTTTTCTCAAAATTTCAACGTCTCTCTCATTTCTTTATCTCGACATCTATTGCCTATTTTGCTAGTGCCTATTCGATACTGAAGTTACAGTTGAGTAAGTTTAGTTGAACATAACTTTAATACTTAATAAGTAGTAGAAAATGAGCAGTAGGATCAAAGGAAAAACGATGGATGCTTTATTCGAAAGTAATATATAAACCTGCAGGTAACAGAAAGTGGAGTAGGACAGTCAATTATTAGAATACCTGTGGAGAAAACAAATCTTTTAACAAACATATTCGAAGCAAATGGTTATGAAATCAATGCTGAATTACTGAAGATGGGAACATTACCGCGTATGTTCAGAAGATGTTTTCATATCCACTCTTACCTGTTGTTTTCGAGTTTCATTTATTTTTATACCTTGTATGATTTGTTTTAAACATTTCTGGGAAATTCCAAGAAACAACACCTGCAAGTTCAAGTTGGGTACCTTTCTGCTACCTAATTCTTATGATGGCCATTCCAGATAAGGAAAATCCTCACATCTGTATCATTGTGAAACAAGCCGTTACATACTAACGGCTTATGTATGATACTATTTAATAAAATACAAAATGAGCTGATGCAGAGGAATCCAACATGCGCAAAAAGAAATGAGCTTTAATTAATATATGACAATATATCTTTGTACTGGATGATTTATGCTACAATGACTTCAGTTAGTTTCTGATTAAAACAAGAGAAAAATATTTTCACGAGTTCTAAGAAAAATTGTTTTTTATTGAGAAAATATTCTTTCAGATGAAATGCAAATCGATCCGCATGTAGTTGCGGAATTGACAAGTGATGATTTCGAATTTGAAAACCCAACTGATGACTTAGATGATGACTTCGTCTTGCAAGCCAATGGTGGTGAATTACCTGTGCTACCACCACCGATATCAATTTCATTGAGGAAGAACGAATTTCGTGTGAAAGCTGTTCATAGTGATGACGATAGCAATGAAGAAATGGATTTCAGTATATCTTTCATAATAGTTTAATGAGGAATAGTTTTTTCAAATTTTGATTTTTGTTTTTTTTCCCCCCTTTTTCCAAAAAAAAAAAAAAAAAAAACCAGGTTTTGTATTTATGGGAATCATTTGTTCTCTAATGAAAGTTATAATTATGCTAACTGTAAGACATCATTTTTTATTTTTGCAGATTCGAGCTATGATGATCACAAGTCGGAAAAAGATATTTTCGTCCATATAGAAAATAAGGGTGGACTGATTGATGAACAGTTCGATAAATTATATGAGGAATACAATGAAACAGAAGATGAAAATGAGGTAGTATTTTCGAAATTGATACTAATTCTTCATACTATATGTGAAATTTTCTGAGTTCTTTCTGGGTCGAGAATTCAGTTGAATTGGATTTCAGGAGGCAGAGGAGTTTCTTTTGGATCCAAGCTCTGATCGAATGAAAATGCTTGTGGAAGATTTCAAAAAGAAAAGAGTGGAACTTGTTCTGGTCTTTTTTCTTATTTCTTCATAGTTATGTGATACGTACATATAAACTGTGCTTTTTAAATATTGTTTTATCGTTTATCGTTGGAAGTTCAATAATTAGATCATCATAGGAAGCAGAATAAAACTGTAAAAACGAATGTTATGTGTAAACACTTTATTTAAACTTTTGCAGCAAAAAGATGTATTGTCTCATTGTTATCCCGAAACAAATGATGAAGCGCTGGAGGTTGATGAACAGATGGAGAAGATCACAATAATTTGTCCTAAAAAGAAAAAAATCAAATGGGATTGCGAAACAGCTGTCTCCGCTTATTCCAATATTTATAATCGGCCTGCTGTCATTGTTGATTCTTCACGTAAACAAAAATTGAAATCGGTTTTAAGGCAAATCGAAGTTTGTTTACTTTAAGTATTATTTATTCTCCAAAAATTCAAGGTTTTTTTTTTTTTTTTGGTTCATATAATTTTAACGGTTCTTATATCGCAATAGCTGGTTAATTTGTGAAGCTTGTGCCTTCGACAAATTAAAAAAAGTTTCCATTAAGGTGATAAACAGCGCTGCAATTAACTTTTTTTTTCCAAAATCATTCAAAATTCATTTACATCCGTTTACTGCGGTTAACACTGCAAGTCAAAGAATTTAAATTCCTAATTTTTTGCAGAAAATGGATTATTCAGTTCAATCAGGAACTAAGTCAGCGATTTCAAGGGTATCCTCAGCAACGATGAAAAGACGTGGGGAAACAGCGGAAGAGCGAAAAGCAAGGAAAGCAGCTATTAAAATGATTCGAGCTGAGCGAAGAGCTGAAAAGAAATGTAATAAATTAACATTTAAAGAAGAGCGAAAGAAAGCGGCTTCATGCTGCCATGGTTCGATTATTAGAGTGATGCCCATTGTGTAAACACTTATATGTCGAACTCATGAATAATGCTTTTAATGCTTTTTTGAGATGATACTTTGTTGGTGGCTTTTGTTTTGGTCGTCCATATGTAATAACATTTCCACTCACTTTTCTTTCTTAAAACTGTTCTGCGTTTTAAGTAAAATGCGAGTTTGGTATCGTTGTATAGGAAAACCAGAGTTTATTATGATTTTGAAAATGTTACTTCAAGGTATATTACATTTTTTATCAATTACATTTGTCATCAATTTTCGTTTTTAATTTTATATTTAAGACAGAAAATAAGGAGCAGATATTAATTGGCATAGACAACATCCTAATAAAAGTTTCTTTTTGACTGCTATAAAGGTATAGAGTGTAACTGTGAGTTATTGTTGGGTTATTTTTCGGAAAAAAATTTTCTCAATATTCTACTCAATCTTTACATGTTTAGCAATGTTATCTTTAAAAAAAAAAAAGAAAATATTGGTCAAGGCTTCTCGAGATGGGAGCAGGGAAAGGGATTTATTGCAAGAGTAAGACGGTGTTCAACTGCTTTGGGGTTTGATGTAATGAGTTCACGGAGATAGATTTGGGCAATGACCACTTAGTAATTACATGTGTGGTGTGTTCATGCTAAAGGAGAAAAAGTGGTGTTGGATGGACGGAGTGTAAAAATGATAGCAAATGGATTTGCATATCAGGTCGATGTAACTTACATTTTTGGAACGAACAAGTGAATATATGGCTTCTGTGAGTACCAGGGACGTTGTTACTGTCATCTTATGTTTTTTTAGCGCTTAATTCTATGTTTCCGTGCTATCCTTGTATTATCCTTGTGTGATAGATAGTTTTAGTATTCTTTTCGAAGTTCCAATTGAATGTGTGTGCGCACGTGCAGTGTAATACACGGCGGTGTTTTTTCCTGTTAGGGTTAACAGCTTAAATGATTAGATATCACGTACTCATTTGGCACTCTTTGCATAATCTAGAAAAGAAATCATTGATTCAAAGAAAAGTGGATTTTATTTAATTAATTTACCCCTTTTTACGTTTAACTGAGACATGGTTCTGAAATTTCTATTTCCTAATTTAACAAACTTCGATTCGTATGACAATTGGCTTTTTATGTTATTTATTAACGCTGTTCATTTTGTTTATGGATTCTATTTATATCTTTAATCGGTTTTTACTAATTTAGTTCGTTATTTTGATGGCATTTTCTATCTTTTCATGGACAGCGTGGATTACATGGGTCGTCTCATTTATTTTTATCTCAGCTATAGATTGGGATAGTGCGATTGTTGCTACTCCAGAAGAAATAAATCTTGCTCATCTTGGTCCATTATGGACCTACTTTGGTAAAAAATCAGAGAATGTTTCGATTTTTCATTCTCGTGAATATATGCAGAAACGTGTGGGAAAGTTTAAGGATATTAATTCAGAAAGGTTATTCTCAACTTTTCTCTAGCGAATTAAGTCACAAGTTAAACAGATACCAATAATTTACTAATTATGTGATTGGGTAGTCCAACTGAAATTAAAAAAGAATGTCGTCCATAGAAAATCCTGCTTACTTTTGTTATTGCTTTCAGAATTTTCAACCACAATTATTCATCTATGACGGCTTGGCTCAAAGAATATGCTATGAAATATCCAAACATAACATGGTTATATTCAATTGGCGAAAGTCTGAGAAATAAAACATTATGGGTATTGGCTATTTCAAGAACTCCGCGGACCCATAGGCTTGGTGTTCCAGAAATCAAATATGTCGCAAATATGCATGGGAATGAAGTATTTTGTTTATTAATTTAAATCCTTAGTCTTATGGAATTGGCAATTTGAAAAATCAAACACAAAAGGTTTAGATTATTGTTGTTTTAGGTGTCTTATTTTTTATCTCAGCTCAAAACGTGATATATTTTGGAGTCATTATAAATGTAGTCACATTTGGAAGACAAGCAATTTGCCATTATATTTATTCAAATGTCGCAAAACTATATCAAACGCAGTTTTATCTATGATGCAAATAGAATAGTTTCCCCTCTTAGTAAAAGACAGACATAATTGGAAGTATTGTTATTTGTTGTACTTTTATCGTACATTTGCAAAAGCAGCGGTAAAACCATTTAAGGACTTTAAACACGTTCATTTTCTATTCATTCTTATCACAATCTAATAATTTAGTATAATCATTTGTATCCATAGTTGCAGCATTTGTTTTTTATACAATTTTTTTGGACAATGAGTACATGGAAGAATAATTGTAAGCTATTATTTTCATACAATATTTAAGGTTGTAGGCCGCGAAGCAATGCTTTATCTTATTGCGTTATTGTGTGATAATTACGGAAAGAACTGGTATTTGACGAATTTAGTAAATAATTTGAGAATTCATATAATGCCTTCAATAAATCCAGATGGATATGAACTCGGTAATGAAGGTGACCGTTCTGGGTTTACTGTAAGTTTAAGTTTTTATTCTGAACCCATTTCTGATTAAGTAGAGACTAAGCTGATAAAAACTAAAAATTGATAACAGCAGGATAATAGCAGTAATATTATTTACTCATTAATTGCCTTTATTTGATAATTCGGTAAAACTGTGTTTCTCCAGTTTTGCAGGGTCGTTCAAATGATCATGGTATTGATCTTAACCGGAATTTTCCGGCACGTTTTCCCACACATCGAGACAAATCTGGAGGAATTTTTCTCGAAAAGGAAACAATAGCAGCAATTAAGTGGTTCCGGCAGTATCCATTTGTCCTTTCTGCTAATTTCCATGGAGGTTCCATTTTAATAGAACTCTTTTTTTTTTACTAAATGACGACTTTTGAGAATTCCTCATTGTTTTGCACTTGTTGAAAAGTCTTTTGAAACTTTTGAAACAAAAAGGATTTTTTGAATAGAAATCCGTTTTCCAACAATTTTTTGGGATTGTGGGTATCATATAAAGAAAAGAAAAAAATAATGAAATGAAAAGAACAAAAAAAACAAAATGAAGACGAATGTTCTCTATAGCTGAAGAACTAATAAAAAAAATTAAAAGTGGATTTGAAATTCCCTTACTCAGTCGATTTGAAATTTCTGTTTTTTGGTGGAAAAGAGTGATGTAGCTGCTGATTTCTCTGTCTTTCTTTCTGTTTATAAAGCGCGAAATGAAAATTTTTGAAAGCGGAGAGACATATACCAAGTTTTTTTCAAAATACGAAATAAACATATCAAGTGCTTTTTTTCATTAAATGATAAATACAAGTCTAGTCCTTAGCTATATTTTTTGGAACGGCATAGCTCTTGGGTTTGTAAGGAATAAAACTTTTCTAATAAGCTTTTCAGGTTCCTTAGTAGCTAATTATCCATATGATGATTCGACGACAGGGCAGGATAACATTTACTCGCCGACTGTAGATGATCGTCTTTTCGTAGCTTTAGCATATTCCTATGCTCGAGCACATTCTAATATGTGGAAAACCGGCCGAAGGTGGTCAATGTTTTTTTCATAATTTAACATCTGGGAATCTTTACCTTCCATTTCTATATAAACTGAAATTTTCCGAGTCAATATTCAACATTCCCAGTACTTCATGGATCGGATTCATATTGAAATTCTTTTAAAAATTTTTAATTTGAAGATGTGGTTTGAATATTAACGGTGATTTCTTTTTGAATGGTATCACAAATGGTGCATTCTGGTACCATGTAGCTGGTGGGATGCAAGATTGGCAATATGTTAATACAAACTGCTTGGAAATTACCATCGAAATGGGTTGTTACAAATTCCCTCAGAAGAACATGTTGCCGCAACTGTGGGATGAACACAAGTATTCACTTCTTGCGTATATGGAGTATGTGCATCGAGGTATTCTTTACTTCTTTTTTTTAATTTTACTATTTACGGCTTTATCTTTCTGCTATCGATTTGTGTATTTCGTTTTCGTAATTGCTTTTTTAAAAAAATATTCTCGTACAACGAGAGAGATGAATGATTAGATGCTTGAAATAAGTAAATTCCGAATTTAGCTCTTCATAATTAATCAAGTTATTTTATTTTAGGAATAAGAGGGTTTGTGCTTGATCAAAGGGGCCATCCAGTCAAAAATGCTGTATTATCAATTAATCAAGGGAAGAATATAACAACAACGGATGAAGGCGAGTTCTGGCGGATTCTCCTGCCTGGTAGATACACGGTATTTTTTCTTGGTATTTTATAAAAATTGTAATGCCTCAAGTTTTATTCACTTTAAATGGACCAGTTACTTTTCTTTGTTTTAAGGTGTTGGTTAGTCACCGAAAGTACCTACCACAAATTTTGAATATTACCGTTGATGAAGGATCTGCAAAACTTATCAATGTTACACTAGAACAAAAACTGTGCAGGGAAAACAGTTTAGTTTTTATTTCATAAATTATATTGCTAATGTTTAAAAATATTCTAACATGTTTTCATCATTGAAACGTTTTACTAGTATCGAAGTAATGTTTTATTGAAGCTGGTGACGAAAATTTCTTAAATGTATACCTTTGGAATGCTTGAAGGTAGTTTTTAATTAATTTTAATATAGTGCGCTATAACATTTTACATAGTGTACTATTCAAAAGCTCATTTCTATAGCAAAGAGTGGGTCAACAGTAAAAATTATTTCATTTTAATTGATATTTAAGCAGTTGATAGTATTCGTGTGAGAGGAGAAGGGGCAGTACGTATTGCGGTGTTTGGTGTCGATTCATTGGGGAAGTCTGTTGTTCAAGAATTAGCAAATGCTACCTGCTTACCGGAGGACTTGTTTGTTGAAATACTTCAACAATCTACTTTATATTTGTTCCCATCGATGTCGGCAGAACGTGCTCTTTATCTGAAGGTTATTTTTCCTTAAAAGTAATATTGATCGCAAATAATAATAGCCGAATAGTTGCTATATCTGTTAGAGCAAATTTTTTTAAATATATATATATATATACTACATTCTATTTCATATATTGTTGTTCACGTTTTGCAACAATGGCGATCTTTTTTTTCATTCTAAAGACTGATAGCGATTTACTGTTTTAATCACAGGATCATGAATTGGATGTGCTGTTATTGTTTGGACAAGGAATACCAAAATCAACTTTATTTAGTGCTGGCATCAATACTCCCAGTCAGTTTGATCAAAAAAATTTTGATGACAGCTTAATGGTGTGAGTCATTATTTGTGTGGCTTTTCTTTATTAGATTTGTTTTTGATAATGTATGCGGGACTTCATTTGATAGCCTTATTATCTGTTATCCATTTATGATATAAATATAAACTATCTAATTAGTAAACCCAACACTCTACCACTTTATATTTGAATTTCGAAAGCCGATTTGTCCAATTAACTTTCTTCATGTAACAATTTTGCTTTTGCAGTGTACTGAATAGTAAAACAATTAGTTGCGTTAATCATATGCTAGATAAAGCGGTCTCATCGATGACTGATGCATTAAATGTGGTAAAAACATTTCAACTAGGTATTTCGTTGGGTTGTGACTTCAGTGACCCACAATTAACACTTACTGCTGTTGCTACTATTTTACAGGTACAATTATAAGATTTTAAAATTGATTTTTTGCTAGCACAGAAGTACTTTTTGGTTGGTGTTTTTTGTTCTTCGTGTTCCAAATCTCTAAATTTCAGATTATAGTAAATGTTTTTATTGGTGTGAAAGATCCTGTAACAGAATATTCGACCACTGATTTGGGAGCTAGTTTATTAGCAAAGGCAACCGAAGCAAGTGGTGCTAATCTACAGCGTATAGAAGAAGAGAATTGTGCTTCGATGATCAACATTGGTTTGATGAAAGCTATGGTATTTGGTGATGGTCGCATGCCGTATATTCTTGTAATGGCCATTGAACAGGTGCATTTCCTCCAGTATTTAAAATAAAGAATAGAGAGATATAAAAGCTTGAACGTAGGTCTAGATAAATATAAAATAGAAAGGAAGGTAAAATTTTTCCCGTCACAAGTTCTATTATCCTAGGATCATTTAAAAAAATTACGATTTAATTTGATTTAACTGCAGAGTTAAGTCATCCAGTTGAAGTAATTAACGAGCAGATTTTCAGAAAAATCAAAATTTCAAATAATTGGTTTCAGAAAACATCATCAGTGGTTTATGACTTTGCAGCGGATCTTTGTTTAGAATTGTTGCAATACCGGATTGTTCGTGAAGTACTGAATACATCAACGCTAATTCTAATTCCCAGCATACCATACACACAATTGTACTGTCATGATTACATGTCAGTGATGCAGTTTAAACCATTCATTGAACAAGTTTTGGATATCTATCCTCTTATCGATTATGCTATATTATTGGGTACAGGTGGGATGAAAGTGCGTTACAGTGATGTTTCCAGAACGGGAAGAACCAGAGATTTGGCATTAAATTACATTTCACAACATACAGTAATTAAACCAACTGGGAATGAGATGTGTAGCAGGTAAATATTCTGTAAATCGATTCTGAATATCTGAAAAAATACATATCGATCCATGAAACTGTCTACTGCACAAATTTTGTATTCTTCATTTCTTCCCTTTGTTGCATAACACTGAAAGATTTTTAATTGTTTTTTCCTCCTGTATTAGAATTAAAACTTCATGAATTTGAAATTAAAATTTTGAAGTCAGATATAGCAGTTAGTAACTTGAAGAACTGAGGCATTCAAATACTTAAAAATTATCTATTTCCTATCATTAATTTCTTCTTTTTAACTACTTGTCCTCATCTCTTTGCTTTGTTTTTAGGAATAATTTTATGCCATTATCGACTGTAAGTGAACTCCAATGGGATATGGAGCATTGGCAAAAGGCACCAGATATTCTGCTTGTGGAAGTAGCCTGTTGTTTTGAAGAAGGCGGAAATCTTTACGCAGAAAATAAGGCTTCATTATTATCGACTATTTCTAAGGTCCCATTTTCTGTGAATTTGAAATTTTAGACTTCTTTGTTCTTTATTTAAGAGTTCCATTAGAGAAGCGGCATGTTATTTCATAAATTGGTCGTTTTCAACCGTCTATCTTTCATAGTTTTATATCCTATCAATCACTAATCAGTTGTTATTTGATACGTTTTTTTGGCACTTTTTTTATATGAGAAACTTTTGTAGAGAGTGCAAGGTTTGTCGGGTACTATCAAAGAAATAGACGGTAATCCAGTGAAAGCACCGGTGAAATTAACTGTTGGCAGTCTCGTTTTTTATACGAAACTCGATGGCTGTTACTATATTTGGTTATCTCCTGGAGTTCATACCATTGACGTACATAAGAAGGGTTATTATCAGTATACTTTTTCAGCTAAGGTATGTTGCTACTTCAGTTAGAAAAAAAAATCTTGCCCAAGTATGGAATAACTTTCTACATAAACTTATTTTTCGTAGAGTTATTTTGATAAGGTTTAGTAATATTGAAAATAATTCGAAATTAACTTTTTGAAGATTCTTTAATTCTCAGGTTTAAGATTTCTTCTTAGATCATTACTTGTTCCTAGTCCTAAAATAATTGCAGATTGTTTTATCTAAGCAAGCTGTGCATGACATACTGTTAACAGAATCCTCCTTCGCATTTTCTTCGTTGTTCAAGAGGGAAAATCTTTTTATTTCGTTTACTGCATTTTGCATGTTGGCATTTGTTTTTGTAAGTGTATATTCTTATTCTTCTGTTTATAACCGTCCCTTAAAGTTTATAAAGTACATTAAATTCAAATTGTTGGTTTTGGAAGATTCATGTAACTAGATTTTTTTGATCCGAATGTTCCATGATGAAGAGGGCAGAACTTGTTTCCGGATGGTAGTGATGCAAGTAAGCAGAAGTGTAATTATGAAGTGAGTTAAATATAACGGTTTAATTAGTTCGATCATGATGCAATAGATAAGCGAATATCCGTGATTATTCTGATTTTGCTAGTGTTTCCAAAATAATAACTAATGGATTTAATTAGGATATAAGGCATTTTGTTTCAAAACTTTTGAAGTGGATGGGTTATTTCCTCACCATATCCTTCATTCATATTCATTTTTCACTATCAAAATTATAAAGTCTTGAAATGTATTTTCAGATTGGTTTATACCGATTAAGCGTTGTACATAAAATAAAATCGATCAAACGATGGGGAGATGGTTTTGAGCGCCTTCCTTTGAATGATTTCGATTCTAACGCATCTGATGATGATGTTGTTCTTGATTCGACCAAGTATCCCTTCATGGGCCTTATTAAACCATTTCGAATTATTGCTTAATTTATTCAGGACACACAAATATGCCTTTTTGCTTTGTTAGCACAGCACCTCACTTATTTCAAGCTACAATTTTATGGTGTTCCAGATTCTTTTGTGTTATTTTATATCTATTCTTATTTGCACATTTGAGGTAGTGTTATCTTCTTCTACCAAAATATTCATAATTTGCTGGTGAGGAAGTGAGTTAAGTTTTATAAACTATTTTAAGATTTTCTTCATCATAAATCGTTCCTGCTTTTCATCACTTATTTTTAGGCATAATAGCATTGCAAGAAAACTTTTAAATTTTGTTAGATTTTTTTAACACACCGGAAGTATTAGTCTTCAGTATGTATATTTTTTATATGTTGAAAGTACAAAGGAAATTTCAGTTCTTGAAAGTAAGTTATAGCAATGCTTTGCAAGGTATAAATAAGATGAACTGAAAACTACGGTATAACCTAATTTTCTTTTGTTGTTTTGAATAGAAATACAAAAAAGTGAAGAGAGCATATTCCAGGTACTTGTATTTAATTTGGAAACTGGCAGATTTGTTTATAGATATTAAGTTTTGTAGATTGACTGTACATAGTATTTTTAGGATATTTACAATTATAGCGGAGCTAAGTGACTTTATGAGCGCTGAAATCGCGGAGTCACGATAGGAAATATGACCGACCTGAAATTTCTTGAGAATCTGTTTTTTTTAGTCCTCAGTTATTTCGCGCTGTTCTTGCATTTTTATATGTAAAGCGCATTTCGGTCCCTTCCCAGGAGCTTTTTCTAATGCTGTCTCCATTTCTTATTTTTTCTTTTTGCAAAAATGAAATTTCCACAGCGCTTTCGATTCGTTATTTCAATGAGTTTGTATTTGTTGGTATTTACATTTTAAATTGTTAATTGTAATTTCGACACCTGACTTGCTATCTTTGATTTTTTCTCTTTGTTTCACTCCCTACATCTAAACTTACCAGCTACTGTGTTTTTATTTTTTCTGCTTGCATTCGCTTATCTATTCAAAAGTGAATAAATAGCACCAGGTAGTTCAATTACCTTCGGTCAAGTAATCAAGCACATTTGAACTTCCAATATTTTTATTTCAATTTCATTCATTATTCTTTGTTTGGCATTGTCTTTGATAACACTACCCGACATATCATTTTTTTAAGAACTTGAGCAGAAAACATACTGTTACTGCTTTACAACATGTTTGTGGGAAGCTCAAACCGACTTTTCGATTTTTGGATCCAAACTAACGTAAATTCCAGACCATTCGAGATCTCCGTCAAGTTCAGGCTGTTGGCAGTTTCTGGTTAGTTTCAGATAATAGATGAAAAGCAATAAGTTAAAGTGTTAAATCTTTCTTACTTTATTAATTATTATAACAAAGCCTATTTTTCCAGCTTTACAAATATTGTAAAATAAATGTACATAAGATAAATGTATCCAAGCCTTGCATTTTAAAGAGAATAGCAGGAACCATTCTACTTTTCTCTATGCTCATTATAACAGAATCATCTATAGTAATCTTACTGTCTGTACTCTGTTTTTATATTCATCGATGCTTTCTTTTATTATCGCACGGTGATAGTAGACAAAGTTTTGCCCACCCACTGTCCTCATTGATGTCACAGACATTTTTATCAATTCTCAAAGTGAGAAACAATTTTTATGGGAATAAAGTAGTGAATTTTATAAAAATATGATTTTAAAATTTTAATGAAGTTCGACAAATATGTTTTTGAGAGGGAAATTGAAAATAAGCTTATTGCAATGCTCTTTTCATTAGATGTATTTCAACATAGCATATAAACAAACCAAACTGTGCATAATAATGACAATAATAACTGTTTTTGAGAAGGTATTGTAGGTAATTTTCGACACTTTCAAGATCGGAGTCAGAACGAAATCCAAATACAGATAAGATTAGATATACATTTGAAGTTTTTTCAAATTCTCCGCTCCGGACGACGCTTCTGCTGGATCTCATCTCTCCATAAATATTATTATGGAAAATATTTTTCATCATACTGCAGGATTCCACATCCAACTTTTACTCCTCCTTCTGATGATTCTCGTCATCTTCAATTCTTCATGTTAGAACTTTCGTCACCTTCAATTTCCCCTGACATTTCCCTTACCTTTAAGTACAGTCTTATAATTACCTGATATAAAGCTGTCATCATCATCCGGATAAATTTCATCACGGTCTACTGAGAAATCTGTTGAGCAAATACAGTAAGTTATTAATGAAAGGAAAGATAAGGGCACTCCAAGTAAACACAGTGTTAGCAGAGGTTGTGCTCTGAACATTTCCGCTATGTTTGTGAAAACCTGAAATTCTGCTAGAAAAAATTAAACTCAATTTGAAAAGTAAAGCAATAGTTGAAATAAAATTCATTCCAATTTTCCTGATGCTGTATGGAATCTACTTATTCCAGCTGTCAAATGGCCACTTTTTTTTTAAAAAATAATTGCGTTACGAACCAAATTCGTTGTGATGTACATCATAATAAAAATTCTACCTTCAAACTTTTTTCGGAGATGCATGAAGAAAGTGAAGGGCTTAATTTTTAAGGAATGAAAATTCCTTACGTGCTAATTTATTTTCAGCAGTATTAATTTATATCAATAGTATTTATTCCTAAGTTGCGTGTTTTTTGGTAAGTAGAAAGACAGTTAATTTGTACAATAAAATTACGGACCTACTGCCTATTTCTCTCTACCTGTTGTTAGGTGTTTCTTTAGAAATAAACTTTAAACTCAATAAAAACTGCTTTGGAATTCAGGTAGTAAATTAGAGGAAATAAACAAATTCATGTCAGAACAACAGAATCTGGATCTGCCTGATATTCGGTAATTATGAATTTCTAACCCAAAAAAATTTTAACTTGAAATAACTAAAAATTTGATGTTTAGAAATGAATCGGAATTAAAAAAACACCATACCTCAAAACACAAGCGTTTGAAGCGCTGTGATAACGAACGTCCTCCAAGTGGCGATACATCACCTGTTGCTATCCGTTCCAAGAATGAAATAATACTTTTTTCCGTCATAACGCTTACGGCATCATTGCTTGAATAATATTCATAACTCGTAGCATTGAAAACCAGTAAACCTAAACAGAAAAGCACTGCTACTGTTGGCACATCTTTAAAGACAAGCACATTTCTCCCGGCGATAATACTGTTAATGATGATGTATTAAAATCTCAGTACACAATAGCATTCATTCTAAGACACTCGAAAAACTTTTCTTCTGGTCTAACAATGGACAGCGCATTCAGTAAAAATGCCAAAAATATAAAGATAACAGCATTACTTGCCTGGTTGATTTACAGTACCCAAAATAACATTATTTGCTAGTTCATTACCATCCAACCAACCAAATTGGAAAATATTCGAAAGATAGGAATCTTTACGAACCATTTGGGCTACATTAGTAACCAACGAAAAGAATCTAAATATGTAAATAAAAACTAAACGAGGAGAATCAACAAAAACGAATGACTTCGGAAACTAAAAACTTTGAAATTCCACACAGTTAAAAGGTCTTCGATCTGAAATTCATTAACTTTGTTAAAACAAACTTTCCTACTCGAGTTGTATGATTCCTCCTCTCAACCATATTTACCACTGTCAAAACCAGTAATCGCATTCTTCCAACTTCTTTGATATTTGTTGAGGTGATAAGCGGTATTAAAGACCAGCGTTCGCTGTGAATCCAGTCACTTAAACTCCCTCCTAGAAAAAAAAAAAACCATTTGTTCTGAAAGTGATTTATTTATCTCATTATATAATTTCCACTTCAATATTATTAATGTCCTATTTCTTTGCAAGTAGACTGCTACTCCCTTGTAAACACATTTCCATATGCTGAAATGAAATTTGGAGGCTTTAATATACTGCTTGATATTAAATGATAGTCCGTCCTCATAGAATGGTAGCCAGATTATATTCAGGCACAAAAATAAGAGATAAGCAATAACAACAAAAACTGAATTAATCTCTTCTTTTAAACTGAATTAACCTTCTCTTTTATAAATTAAATATTCCCCATCTTTGAAAACAAGAACTGATGGAATTTCAAGAATCGAAACGGATTTTGGAAACACATCTCTCTTTGCACGATAAAATCGCGTCGATGAAAACAACATTTCGGCAATATCGCTGTAGTTATCAAATAATTCAAGAAGCTGTGCATCATGGTTTTCTTCCACATACACAAAAAATGGTTCTTTCAAATCTTTTCGCATCTAAAACATTTGACGAAGACTGACTACTGACGAAGCACGTGTCAATTCACAAAAACCTTGTCGACATATCTACAAACAGCAAAAATCTTAAATCGAATACAATGAGAGTGAATTATGAAAGGAAAGAAACCTGTGATAATTGATGAACACTTTCGATGATGCCCACCATGGGACCAGCAGCTTTTATTGCGAAGTCAATGATTGCTTCCTTTCTTCGTTCGCCTTCATAAACCATCTCTCTTCCATTGCGGAAACTATACTGTGGAAGTTGCAAATGAATAACAGATAATAGATTTTGACTGCACTAGTGAAAAAACCGAGATCCAACTAGTACTAAACAAACATAATTTGAAACTGAAAAATTCTAAAAAAAGTAAAGTCTCTTTGCACAGACAATTCTTTAATGATATACAAAAAAAGTCAAAACTTACAAAATAATCGTCGGATATCCTCGAATATTCAAAGCAGAAGCAGTATTCGTGTAACGAGTGCAATCGAGTTTAGCAACCCGAACAAGGGACTGACGATCGGCTAATGCATGACCAACTTGTTCCCAAACTGGCGTCAAACGCTTGCAGTGTGCACACCAAGGAGCATAGAACTGAAAATACATGGCAAAATTACTTAACAAATCGAAAATATGATAGGCAAAGTCAGGAAATGCAGTTCTTTATATTTGTGTTCTGAGAAAAAGTGAACTCACAGAACTATTAGCTAGAATAAGATTGTCTCTCCTAGTATGCATTTGAAGCTAATTCACACCTACTGATTTAATAAATGGAAAGAAATATGCTTTAGATTTCCAATAATCAAATCAATCAACAATAAAATTAACAGTTAAACTTCAACTTATCCTACCCAATCTAGAATAAGCTAAAACATTTCATACGTCAACAAACCACAGGCCATCGTTCTTCACTTGAAGGAATTTATCATTCAGCTCAATCACTTGCGATGGTATATTTGTTGCTTGAACAATATTTATAATTTGTAGTCTGGTAAATATTAGGAATCCATTAATGCAACAATTCAATAACCACATTCACATAAATTTTAAGTAAATTACGGATATTCAAAATCCTTGCAGTGGATCTGAAACAGCGAAAGTATAGTGTGGACGAAAATTCTCTTTTGTGAGAAATTTCTGAGAACTAACTGCAGAATTGGGATATGCAAGTGTTCAACAACCTTTACCACAACATTCCGCATACTCTATTGACTTCCACACCCAGTTATGATAAAGCATCTCCCTCCCGCTTTGATATAGAGATATCTGAGTTTCACATACTGAAGACAGTCGCATAGACCTCTTTCCGAACTTAAACTCGCAATAATAAAAATCTACTTTATTCCGCGTAACGCACAACACCTCAGATCCTTATCAAGCTCTTTGTCGTTCTTTTCTGAAATTCACTGAAGTCATTTCCTAACAAAAATCACCCTAAACTAACCTTTCACAAAACTACGGGTGCAGCTGGTAATTGCAACACCGGTTAGCATCACTAATACCATTCATTTTGATTAAGTGGTAATAATTTCGTAATATACCCTTTAACTGTTAAGAATTTGAAAAGTTGAACTCGCACTTTCTGCAAACCTATGATGCTTCATCAAATTTGCCTCATGCTTTTGTTTTTTTTTATGTAAATTTTAAGCTGCAAATTTGCAAATCATGTTTACAGAAATCAGAACAGCAAGTAATAAAATTTATTTTTATTCCATTCTGAATGTCAAAACATATTTGGAAAACAAAAACATAAAATCATCTTTAAGAGCAATCAGAAGAAAAACCCAAGAATTTTTCCACCAAGATGCTTTCTGCGCGCTTCTTCATGATCCATAATTCCACCCGAGGTTGTCAACACAAGGTGTCTTAAAATACATTTAATTTATATAGATTTCAACTTTTAAGAAATGGTTTTTCTCTAAATATCCCAACAGAAGCTCTCTATATTTTTCACTTTGATGAATTCGGGAATTTCTTAATATTTTGAGATACCACTTCTACAATGTAAGACGAAAATACGCCTTATCCTTAACTATATCGTTTCTCAAGAAATGTCACCAAAAATTTTAAGTTGCAATTACCATTCATACAGTAACGTGAAATATGCATATCCAGTGAAATAGTGCTTACCCAAACTGCCGTGAAGGAAGAAGATTGGATGTCCATTTCTCCAAATCTTTCAAGGAAATATCGAAACGCGGGCTAATTACGGAGCATTTGTTGATGCGACCCGTTAAATTAACAACTATTTTCCCTGCTCGATGATCATCAATGATTTCAAACTCACCAATATAGCCAGCTTTCATCATTACAGTTAGAAAACGTACTATTACCTGTAACAATCAGCAATATATTTAGTGTTTATCCGAAGCAGAGTTTTTCTACAATCGTATTCACTCTACTCAGCTGATAAATAAATGGGGTGGAGAAATGAGAAACCAATAAATAATATGATCCTGTAAGCATACCGAAATTAAGATGCAAGTAATCTCAGACAAAATAAATCACAAAACAGCAAAAACTTTAGATATTACTTTGACAAGAACTGAGACTAAACTGACTGAAGTTAGACCAGAAAAGCAAACTACAGTTTCTTAATCTTCTTCAATCTTTTTCTCACTCTCAAAGAGTACCTTCGAGCATGGTCGAATTAGAACTTGTCGTTTACCACGCTTTTCAGCATTGTTGATAGTTTTTAACGCATCTGCTAACACACTCATCCGCACCATCGTGTATAATCTCTTCAGTTACTACGAATGCCTTACTATACCAGTACGCCCACGTCACCTGAAACAATCAAAATAAAGAACTGGAGTTTCCTCAGATAACTAGAAATCCACATACAAGAACCCAACTCCCGTATTTTACTCGCTCACATTAAACCCTAACCATACTACATCACACAAACTTTAACAGAAAAAATAAGGCATATAGACAAAAGAACTTTTGTAAACGCATTCCACGTACGACAGCATTCACGGTAAAGAGTCCTTTACCTTTCCAATTCACACACCACAGCTCCCCAAAATTACGCCAACAAACGACTATACGGAGTCGTCAATTTATCACGGGCCGCGCTACGTCTCACCTGCAAATTGATGTGTGTTGCAGCTGGATTTGTCCGTTCTTGTAGGGGTGTTGAGGGAGTGGGCAGTGCTGCTTATAAGTACTGCTGTCACAATTCTCTGTAGTGCATTGCTTGAGGGGATAAATTGTGGCGAATGGAACTGTCTTGCTAATTATTTCTACTGTTTGATCCTTACTGGTGATTTAGGGAAAAGGCCGAAAACAGACTAAATGACATGTTCTATCATATTCCGTTAGATCATGAAATATGCCTTCATCCTAAATATTTCGGCCCTGATTTGCTGGAGACAGTGAAACGAAAGTTATTCAATGAGGTTGAAGGTACCTGCACTGGGAAGTACGGTTTTGTTGTTGCAGTGACTACAATCGATAATATTGGTGCAGGACTTATCCAACCAGGTACTTATGTACTGTCACTAAATCTTGAATATACTGCTTACATTTTCATTCTACCCGAATTATCCGAATCCATAATTTATGCTGTTAATTTTATATAATGACAAAATTCGGCAAACATAGAATGAGATCTAGTCTTGCATTTAATTAGATTTTTGGAGGTTCACATATAACCAGACAAAAGTCATTCTCCAATTCTGTGAGTTATCATCCTTTCCAGGTCGTGGTTTTGTACTGTATCCCGTGAAATACAAGGCCATAGTGTTCAGGCCATTCAAAGGTCAAGTTGTTGACGCGGTTGTAAATCAAGTAAATAAAGTGAGAGACCTTCTACAAATTTTTTTAAAAATTAGACTTTAACTTCGTTTTTTTTTTCTTGCTTTGTGTCATCCTGCAAAAGAATTAGATAACGTTATAATAATACCTTCTGCTGTAATTAAGTAATCAAAATTGCTTTATAAAAATTAGGACATAACACAGTATTCAACCTAATCAGTACATTATGCATGCATATTCTCAGTTTTTTGATTTTGCTTTCTAAATTTAAGTAAATTCTTTAGGAAAATTTCTCTTTGTAGGTTGGACTATTTTGCGACATTGGACCCCTTTCATGTTTCGTAAGTCGTCATTGTATTCCTCCGGATATGGAGTTTGAGCCAAATTCAAATCCTCCATGCTACAAAACAGCAGATGAAAGTGTTGTCATCAAGCAAGATGATGAAATCCGTGTGAAACTCATTGGTACACGAGTTGATGCTTCTGACATCTTTGCTATTGGTACTTTGATGGATGACTATCTTGGTCTTTCTGCTAATGAGTAATTCATTTTTTCACCAGCACATAGAATTGTTTTAAATGACATGCATACTTAAGACTCTATATTAATTGTACTGTGTCGAAATCAAATTAAAATAGAATGAAACATCAGATGACTTCGCTGGCTATTTAATAAAGACAGTTTCCGAGGAGACAGTAGTATTTTTGTATGAGAAGAGAGTTACTAGTATTGTATGAGTTGGCAGTTTTGTTCATATATTGCTATATTGATAGCTAATATAGTGAGTAAAATCAAGATTTGTGGTTGTTCAGCCCACAACTAAATATAATGTAAATTACTCTCGTATTAAGTTATTGTAAAGAGTTGACTTCTAGAGCTTCTGCTTCCTTATTTTTTGTGTCACAGATACGGAATCGATTTAGTCCTGTGCTTGTCGCTCTTTCTTCAAATGGTGTTTGAGCGATAAAAACAGCAAATAAATGAAAAGTTCATTCTTTGAATTATATATTTCTTGTTCTATTGTTCTGGTCTCTCACTAAGTGGAAATTGTTCTCATTAAGGTGTATATTTTTCATATTGTTTTTTTTTTTTTGTTTCTGTATGTTTAGTTCTTACAATAAAAATGATGTGTTCCGAAAGTGCCATTTTCCGAATAAGTTGTTCTGCTATGCAAATATTTGTAAAATCTCAATACGTTTGCAAACAGCCTACTGTTAATATATTCGTATTGGTGTTGGAAGTTTTCTCTTTCAGGAAGTCCTACATTTGGAATGGGTGTCTGGAATTTGCAAATATTCGATGAGGTAAGGCGGATGAACGTTAGGCAACTATTGTATCAGGGCCTGAACTTCGCTATGATTGTTTCCTCAGCGTTGATGATTTGGAAGGGTTTAATGGTTATTACTGGTTCTGAAAGTCCTATCGTGGTTGTGTTGTCTGGTTCCATGGAGCCTGCATTCTATAGGTATTTTGAATTTTTTTAGCATATAGTGTCAATACCGTTATCACGCGTATCGTCCATTGAGGACTTCCATCTTCTTCGCTTGCTAGAATTGTGGATATAAGGCTTTTTCAGTAGAAAACTAACTTTTATTCACGTTTTAAGCATTCTTTATAAAAAGGAGAGTCTCGTCATGAAAAAAGTAGTTTTGCTGTCTAAATTATGGAATATATTCATTCTTTAGATATGATCTATATTGATACATTTGTTACAAGTTTTTTTGAGAGGTGATTTATTGCTGCTAACAAACGATGATTCGGACCCGATCAGAGCTGGTGATATTACGGTATTTAAAGTGGAGGGGCGTGATATTCCAATTGTACATCGAGTTATTAAGGTACATGAGAGAAACAACGAAGAAACAAAATTTTTAACGAAAGGTGATAATAATCAGGTGATGAATTTTTTCTTTCATTACACATCAGAATATATATTCCCAAATTGTCAGCACACATTTAACAACCATAACAGAAAATTCTAAAGACTTCCGATTTAGATTTGGTAATTTTTAAAAAATGTATGTGGTTTCAATGTCGAACTCACTTCAAGGTCTAGAAATTTGGTTTTATATTGAATCCAAATAACACTTTTTGACCAGACTATGCCTCTTATTATGTTGGAATATTTATGCCTCTTATTATGTTGCCTGTATATACCAGTCTTCTATACCGTATATTTAGAATGTTTTATTGTTGTAGATCCTAATCATGCTCTTTTCTAGGTCGACGATCGAGGTTTATACGCGTCGGGACAGTTTTGGCTGACACGAAGAGATGTTGTTGGTAGAGCAAAGGGATTCGTACCTTATGTTGGGATGGTCACAATACTAATGAATGATTACCCCAAATTGAAATATGCGGTTTTGATTGCTCTTGGTGCTTTCGTTATTCTGCATAGAGAGGGATAGTCCTTCACTCAAATTCTAAAATATTTTTCGTTTGATTTTAAGACTGTGCACTAAATATAGGGTGTTGGGGACATGACATTACCAAACGCAGTTCGCTAGCATAGCAGCTTATCCGAAACGATGAGGTACATCTAGGACGTTCATAGGATTTATCAGATTTTTGTCAACGTAATCTCCGAGGAAACCTCTCTAGCGATAGCCTGCTCTTTTCTTGCACTTACAGTTTGATAGCATGCCTCTTAATTCTGTGACTTGATCTCTTACAGCCCCTGTCTGTCTCATAACATCCTCAGTTTCCAACTTCCTGATGTAAGGTTATGGTGAAGTGACCAAGGGAAAAAGGACCAACTGTTCTATACCCACTTCATTGCCTCTCAGTACGTGGATTTTCTCCCTAATCTTCTCCGCACCGCCAGCCTTCTGGTGCTTTGGTCTTATAGGTATCGGCAGCTACTCGTTTTTTTTCACGGTTCCCTCTTACACAGAAGCGGAATTTCTGCAGTGTATGTGCGTTACCTCAATCTATCACTTGTTTTCAATTAGTTGCAATTTTCGTTCTGCATTGACCTACTACCTTTATAAACAAACCTATCCGAAATGCATAAGGACTTGTATAGGCCCTACACTGTCCAATCCCCTGCACCCATCCCCCTTTCTCCAGCTTTAAATTTAGATAACAAAAACACGATGAATTCTTGTCTTATGATTAATCAGAATTATTGCAAGTTTTCTTAGCAATAGGCATCTCACTGTAACGCGCGGGAAAGCTATATGCAAGAGGATGGCCTACCGTTTCTCCTCGTCCCCATAAATTAGAATTTTAAGAAAGTTTATTCGGTTATGTATGTCATAAGACATAAGAAAAAAAACATTTAACAGTGTGAAATTCAATGGGAATTGAAACTGTCTTCATACTGAAATAAAACAAAGTAAATGGTTGAAAACAATCACTAAAAGTAACGAGTTATGATGAGTGGTCTTGATCAAATGACAAGTGGAACCAACAATTATAGAGTGAGGTCATACCGAGATTAATTTCTCATGACCAACAGTTACAAAGTACTACAACACAAGCCAAGCAAAATTACAAAAGTATAGGATTCCCCAATACCAACAATGAAATCGACGAGAAAAAACAGAAACAGGTGGAATGCATTTGCGCTACAAACCCGTTCTGGGGTAATATCTTTGTCTCCTTTCCCTACATATATTCTAGAGCACTAGAGAATTTGTCAGTCCGAATTGCAATATCGAAAAAGACAACAATTAACATAGGCCTGGGATGGTATTATGGCGCAAAAGCAAGTCATGAGGTGAATTATACGAATGTCTAGAACACAAATTCAACTCTTCCTAGCTAGGCAAATATCTCCACTTCTAACATCAGAACACAAAACCCCAGTGAGTATTTTTACGATTTCGTAATTCCCAGTACGTTCTAAAGATTTAAAGAATTTGTTAATGGGAAAGGCTCTTTCAGTGGTTTATGCTTTATCTCAACACTATTTGAAATCATTCCTACATCCTGTTGGCCGTTCAATAAAACTACCAAATACTCTGAAAACCTACAAGTAGCGTGCACACCTGTCCCAGACTCTATGTGTTATCCTAGTTTACCATTCAATCTTATTTAAGACATTATTTCCGCATTCTAATGTATAGCATTGAACCTTCCTATCAAGTTAAGAGCGGTACCGACAAAAATTAAATCAAAAACCATATGTTCGAACAGCTTAACAAATGAATAGGTTGGGGCTAAGATTATTCTACAAAAATACTTGGGAATATAATTTGTGATGTTTAAAATGTTTAAACGTGGCAGTTTCTGCTCCGGAGTATCTTGTCTGTTCATGCGGAAAGTTAAAAAGTAAACAAAAACTACTATTTGACCTCGCTCCCCTCCATCCAATATTTGTACAATGCAAAACACTGACCCGAACTTAATAGAACGTAGTTCAGTGGATTCTTGGTAATATAGCACAGACCATTAATTGGCACCTTGCGGTTTCATTACTTGAAACTCTGCTTAAATATCTGTTAAACATTTTCAAGAGAGAGACCTTTTCAAACATTAGTTTAACAGACCTAAGATAGTGTAAACAGCAGAGACAGACAAAACGAATACATACAAAGTGATAAAGTAAAGATAATTTACCAATAAAAATGACAATTTATCACGGCAACAAAAACAATCATGAAATAGTAACGAGATCAGTAACCCACCTCATACACGGTAGCTTTCTTTTCACCAGATCCGGTGACAATATATTTATCATCGAAGGATATATCGCACGATAATACCGACGAGCTTTCTTTGGCTGTAAGAAGCGATGCTCCATAGGGGGTTCGCCATGCACATAACATGTTATCCTTGCCCGTTGAAACAAACCATTTCCCACTGTGCGCAAATTTCAGCGATAGGACACAACTGTCATGTATATGCAATGAATACCTATAATATTTTATAACTTTCTCACGACTCTAATTCATAAATTAAAAAAATGTTAACAATTCACCACAAAGTAATAAACTACTGTTCAACAACTCCATCAAACTCATTATATATTCATGTATAAGAGTAGGATAATCTTAAACATGGGTGAAAGCTACAAAAATAATAGCATCCATTTATAAATCCTCTACTAAACTCACAACTTCCTTTGCGCTCCGATTTCTTCATAAGGTCTGATTTTTTTTTTTTACATTACTGGATTTACTAACAGTTTTACATTCATCTCGATATGTTATAAACATCACAATAATTGTTAATAATTTCATAATAATTATAATAAAAATAGAAATGACAATAATTAATAATAACAATAAAAACAATGATAACGACAATAACACTAATAATTAATTAAAAAAAAATAATAATAAATAAACTGACTAACAAAACTGACCTGTCAGGTTTGCTGACATGAAGAACTTCAACATTACTATTTTCCATGCCAACAGCAACCCAATCATCACATGGACAACATCCAAGAGAGAAAATTTGTGACTGGAAGTCATGCTGCTGCAACTGAATTCGTTCACGTAAGTCCCATGAACGAACAGTATTGTCTAAGCCACCACTCCACAACCGCACGGCATCGTTTGAAAGATCAACACAACTGGCACCATCTTGATGTCC